AGCCAACTTTCTGAAACCTACGTCTGATTCTGTCCCTCCTCTTTGAGAATTCCTCCCTAGGTGCCCTTTGCCTTGGGATCCTGGACGTAACACATAAACCCTACCATTTCCCTTCCCCGCCGGTTTCTCCAGCCTCACCTTTTCCCAACATACTACCCAAAAAAAACGTTCAACATGACTGACCCCATTACATCTCAGAACAACCCCACGAAAGCAGTGTTACTTAAATCAGCACCACACCTCACTCTCACTTATTATTTCCATATTGACTAGATGGCAGCTTGTCAAACATAATATGCTTTTGCACACCTCTGTCTGTGCACATGTGATTTCTCTGTTTGGAATTCCCTCTCCCACCTCTCCTGATTGCTTGACCGACTCAACTCTTCCTTTAGGACTGCAGGTCAAATGTTAACTCCTGTTGGATGGGTTTTCGAGCCACGCAGACTAAGAAGATACTCTTTCCTGTGTTAATCCTTTGTAGGCACAGACAATCCTGTGTTTCCTTTCAAGACTGTGTAACATGCAGTAATGTGATTATTTTTAGGGGGATCACTGTTCCTCGCTGGTGGTAATCCTGTATTACAGGGAAGTAGGCTTTGTCTGTAATTAGGATTGCCAGGAGAGGAAAGAGAACTAGGCCCAGAAGAGCTAAGGCCAGGGTGGAAGAGGAAAGCCTGCCCCAGGAAATCTCCATAGCAACCAGTCAGGATGGAGCCCAGTGCAGAGATGGGCTCCTCTCTGGCATTCTGTATCAGGGGGTCCGCAGACCCTACTAGGGCCAAACCCACCCACCACCTATCTTTGCCAATGAAGCTTTACTGGAACACAGCCCTGCCCATTGGTTTACAAATTATCTTTGGCTGTGTTCTTGCTAAATGACAGAATTGAGTAGTTGCAGAAGAGAAAGTCTGGCCCTCCGACCCTAAAATATTTATTATTTGTCCCTTTGTAAAAAAAAAAAAAAAAAAAAAAAAAAAAAAGGAATGGTCACTTTTGCCCTAGAGAGCAGTTCTCAGGGTTCAGTTCTCAAGCCAACAGTGTTGCCACCATTGCTCACCCACAGGCCTCACCTCAGACCCACTCACTGAGAAAGTCTGGCTGTAGGGCCCACCGATCTCTGTGAAATACGCCCTTCAGGTGATTCAGAAAATCACCAGTCTGATAAGGTGGGCTTAACTACAGCCAGGCATGCAAGATCTAAGACGTGTTTGGCAAACTGGTTCGCGAGCCACATGTGGCTCTTTGGCCCCTTGAGTGTGGCTCTTCCACAAAATACCACAGCCTGGGCAAGTCTATTTTAAAGAAGTTATGTTAGAAGAAGTTTAAGTTTAAAAAATTTAGCTCTCATAAGAAATTTCCATCATTGTACTGTTGATACTTGGCTCTGTTGACTAATGAGTTTGCCAACCACTGGTAGGAGAAACAGGTTCCAATAAAAGACAAGGGGATACAATCTGAAAATAGGGAAGGGAGGGGATGTGGGTGCAAAGAATCTCTAATGATGCCTCTAAATTACAAATTCCATGAAGGAAGGAACTCACTGCTGGTTCCCACCATACTGCCCAGTGCTACCTGCATGTGCATTTGCGAGTGAATGAATGCAGGTGTGCAGCGTGCTTGGAATGGAGCCAGTCCCAAAAGGTGACTCTGAGCTCCCAGATGGAATCATGGAAATAGGTATACTTGGCAGTTGTGGCTCAGGACTGTGGCTGAAATCCATTCATAGCAAGAAAGTACTACTGAAGACTGAAGAGCAGGGGCTTATCTAAAAGCTTTGAATGAAATTCTGACTTTCATTTAATCAGTTTCACTTCCCAGCCCTGCCTTTGGTGGAGTATTGGTTCTGGGGACTTTGTTTTTACCATCATAGCTCAGCTGTACCTCTGTTTGACCTTAGATAATTTACTCAAACTTCCTGAAGCTATTAACTGAATTAATAAATGGGAAGCCCTTAGTGCCTGGTACACTTCCTCCAGTAAGGAAATAATTTTGACGTATTTCTAGTCAAGATCTCATTTCATAGTGAAATAAAGATTACCAAATATTACTACTATTTTATTCCAGCGGTAAAACTTTGCTTATTGATATTATTTCTTCACTAGAGGCCAGTTGCATGAAAATTCATGCAATAGGATTTTCCTTCCTCTGGCTGCCAGCACTGGTTTTCCTCAAGCACCTGGGACTCAGGCCTTCACTCTGGCCACCTCCTTCCATCTTTGCTGCAGCCAGAGTCTTCAGTCTTTGCTTCTGCATGAGCACCACTTCTGTAGCTCCCTCCACCCCCCCACCCTCCCTCTTATAGCAGGAGTCCCACCCTGACCAGCCCCTCCAGGCCTTCATGCTTGCTGCCCAGAGGCCTGGAGCGGCTGGGGGTGGGGCCGTCGCCACCTTTGTCGGGTTAATTTGCATATTCACACCTGATTGGCTGGTGGTTGTTGGGAAGTGAAGGTCGATTTCCATATTTTTCTTTTATTAGTGTAGATTGGTCTTTAAAGAGACTTCTGCCACGCTGTCCATGTTACAATCTAAAGCCTAAGTAGATATGAGTTTCATTATTACACTTTTTCTTATTTAGCATATGTCACAAACTTTTTAAAAACCAAAAAGTACTAACAATATTTGCTAATATGGAAATAGGTCATTCTGAGGTTCTGTTATTTAACAAAATATCCATGAGTTGGGGAAAAAAACATACTATCTGAACCCATCATAATACATTTTACTATACAGCTTTTAAGTACTCTTGTGAAGTTTTTTATATTCACTAGGGTACAATTTACATTTATATGCCTTTTTTTTTTAAGAACTCTGCATATGTTATGCACATATGAAAGAGAAAATAAGATTATTGAGGGCTTTACTAGGTGAATAAATATTATTTCATGATTTTTCAGTGATAACTAAATCTATATTATGTCAAGGAGCCATCACCCTGAAACTTTAATAACTTTTGGCATAGTGACATTTTGAAAGTAAAATTAGTGTTTGGGTTGTTTTTTGTTGTTTTTTTAATTCCATAAATGCCAAGGGAATTTTATCACGTTTCAACACTTGCTGAATATGTAATTCCCATAGTGCCCATTAGTGGCCGTTTGTGTAAGGTAATACATGTTTGGGATGAAATTGATTAAGGCCTAAACACTCTGGTGTTATGATCAGGAAAAGCACACAAAGTTCGCGTCTTTTTTCTAATGATCGTTATGGAGCTTAGAGATATGGATTTCCAGAGGCAGAGCAGCCTATCACTCAAGATCCTAATCTCACAATAAGGGACACCAGGGCCAAAGGGAAGGAGATGGAGAGACTTTCACTGAGGTAGTAAGTTCTGTTCTCGGGGAGCCAGTGGGGATAAAGGGGGAATTAACAGGTGTTGGAGCACAGTATTTCCCTTTGCAGTTGCACTGAATATTCAGAAATATTTCACTACCTTTTAGCCGAGACCGGTTTGGCTCAATGGATAGAGCATCGGCTTGAGGACTGAAGGGATCCGGGTTCGATTCCGGTCAAGGGCATGTACCTTGGTTGCGGGCATATCCCCAGTAGGGGGTGTGCAAGAGGCAGCTGATCGATGACTCTCTCTCATCGATGTTTCTAGCTCTGTATCTCTCTCCCTTCCTCTCTGTAAAAAAAAAATATATATATATATTTTTTTTTTAAAAAAATCAATAAAATATATTTAAAAAAAAAAAAAAGAAAGAAATATTTCACTACCTTTTAGAAATTCCTGTTGCAGCCACCAACACACTTCAAGGTTAACTTGTAATCAGCATATGCATTGATGGTCCAGCCTCCTTGGTCCTTTATATTATTTTTGCCTGGCTTGAAAATTGTTTTCTTTGTATTAACTGTGCAAAATCGGTGCTTCTCTTCTTTCAAATATGTTTCCAGTGTTATCTCCTCAGTGCATTTTATCTTTATTAGATGAATACCTGTGTACTTCCTGAGCTCATTTATCTATTCCCTTAGCGTAAAGCTAAAATACAAATATACTTGTTTACATATTCCTAATGAATGTATTCACACCTTGGCTCTCACATTATCTACATAGTATGTACTGGTGAAACATATTACAAAAAAAAAAAATGATTCTTTGGCTTAGAAATATCTGAGAACTTGTGTTCCTGAACTGTCCCCATGATCATCTTAAAATCTGGTCACGCCTCCATAGAATATGTGGCATTTGAAACTCACCTATATCCTGACAGTCCCTGGGATGTAGGCCAGAATGACTTAGGTTCAAATGCCCTGAAAGTAAACAAAAGAATTGATAGAATCATTGTCCAAACATTGAAATACAACCATTGTGATGTTGGCATAATTGATGCTGAACTGTCCTTCCTTTTCATTGTTAAACATCTTGATGATAATTATTCATCAGGTTCTGATAGATTTCAAATCTTTTCCATTAAAGATAACAAAATAATACTGTCTCCTTAAAGGAGGAAATTTACCTTCCTGTCTTATATTTTTATATACTAAGAAGTCATACATCAAGTGCTTCTAATAGTTGTCGAAGTTATTTGGAATATATGTAAAAGAAAATGTTCTAGAATACAGCAATGTTTAATAACACTTCGATTTTAGATTTTTTTTTTAGATTTTTTAAATGTATCTTATTGTTGAAAATATTACAGATGTCCCCTTATTATCCCCCATTGCTTTTAGGAAGATGTATTTTTAGTAGATGCCTGATTTTTTTTTTTAACTGACTTGATTTGACCCATTCTATAGTGTGATTGTTGTTGCTGTTATTTTCAGAATCTGTTTCTTAGCTTAGAGAGAAGTGAGGCAGGACGGGTAGCCTCAGTCACATACCAAAAGCACTGGATGAAAATCAGGGATCCGTAAGAGAGAGAACTCAAAGGGTTAGTTGGAACTAAAACCAGAGTCCATGAATGACCATTAATCTTGTTTTTAAAAGCATATGCACACTTCAACGTTTTGTTCTTAGGGGATCTGAATTGGTTTTCTTAAATGTTTACCACTTGTTTTCCCAGAATCTTCAGCTACTTGGAGCTACAGCCATTGAGGATAAATTACAAGATCAAGTGCCTGAAACCATAGAAATGCTCATGAAAGCAGACATCAAAATCTGGATCCTCACCGGGGACAAGCAAGAAACTGCCATTAACATTGGTAACTCACCTAATTCAGACTTATTAAATGTGACGCTTTGAAACAGCTTGATATAGGAGATAAACGAGAAATATTTCAAGAATGAAAAATATCTTTAAGAATTCCATATTTATATTATTGGGCTTATCTGTCAACTTATGGCCCCGGGGCTTCTCTAAAATTACAGTGGCTATACATTGTAGCTCTTATAACCAGATAATACCCGTTCTCCCCTTTGTATCGCTGCCTACCCCCACTTTTCATCCACAGTTGGCACGTGTAGATAACATTTCGGTGGTTATCTGTGAAAGTCTAGAAATTGGGATTATGGCAGGTTGCATATAGATGCTTGTTTATTTGACCGAAGGTTATTTCCGAGATAGGAATAAGAAGGTCGCCAGTTTCCATTCATTTTTTGGAAACAGGTTGTTAGCTCAGGCTGCCACAACATCTCTCTAGAGGACTGTATTACATCAGTTAATTCCCTTTATGTTTGGACACAGGACACTCCTGCAAACTTCTGAGGAAGAACATGGGAATGATCGTTATTAATGAAGGCTCTCTTGATGTAAGTAAAATCCTATTTTTAAAAACTATTGAACAACATGATCATCTCATAGTATTTTATATTCCGATAGCTGTGAAAATATTTTACCTTCCTGAGGTTAAATGGTACCTTATTACAGTTCTGCTGTAATGTAATGTGCCCTGTTTGATCCACGTTGATGTAAGTAGATTGCAGCTTCATGTCTGACGGCTGAAGGAATTGCTTAATGCAAGACTAGAAAGCAGCTTCACAAAAGCATCATGGGAGGAGGTTACTGAGTGACTGCAACTTGCTCATATCTATCTGTATATTGTTGATTTAATATCCTGCTTTAGTTTCTGGTGATACTGTCTCTTCAGGGATGGGCAGAAGTAGGTTTGCAGTTGTTCATATAGAAAAGGGCATGCAAGTTATTACTATTACAACAGCTTTATTAATTGCGTTTCGTGTACTCACAACAATAAACTTACTTTGGCCCATTACTGTATTTTGCTTTAAAAAAAAAAAATTGTGAACGCTATTGAACAACACAAAATAACCTCGCTAATAGGAAAGTTTGTTGTTGTTTTTTTCAATGTTCTATCTTCTGGGCTATAATTTTTGGAGGTTTTTTTCATGGCTGTGATCCCCTGAATTTGTATTTGGGGAAGGAGGAAAGATTTGTTAAGTGCACAGTGTAAATACATGTTGACAAAGAAATATGTAGGCCAAATGACTTTATAGTAAAGGTGACATTTTGTAACTTAAGGTGGAAGACAGAACAGGAGAGGTGGTTATACACGTGCTTGAAATAGAGCAGAGAAAACCTTGTAACTGAGGTGTTGGTGAACCTGAGAGGCCAAGGACAGAGAGGGATGGTGAAGAGGAAAATGCTTAGAATTTGGGTACAGAGCAGAAACTGTGTAAAAAGGCATTGACATCTGATTTTTACATTGGAATAATTATCTCTTTTTTATTTGCTCTCAAAATAGTCCTTGTGATGTATTTCCCTTTCTTGGGAAATCTTTAAGCAAACTTTTTAAAATTGTTTTATTTGTTGATTTAAGAAAGAGAGAGAAGCATCTGTTTGTTGTTCTACTTATTTATGCATTAATTGGTTGATGCTTGTATGTGCCTTGACCAGGGATAGAAGGCACAATCTTGGCATATCAAGATGACACTCTAACCAACTGAGCTAACGAGCCAGGGATCTTTGAGCAAACTTGTTGCCTGAGGAATAATATGTGTTTTTGCAACCATGAAAGTTGCTTATGCCTTTATCTATTGGAGAAGTATTTTTGTGAACCAAGCTTTAATCTTAAAAACACAAACAAACAAACAAACAAAGCCAGCTGCTGTTTGAAGACTTTCCTTTATATTTTTTCATGTACTTGGCCCCCTGCTAGGCACTGGGAACACACCACGAAACCAAACATGGGGACACCGCCCTGAGAGCTTACAGCAAATCCAATTTCCACCCTGCATGTGTATGCATTTTGGTTTATTTATCCAAGTTACTATGTTGTGAAAAATTATGACTCAGGCAGCCCAGCCTTCCAAAAGCTTATCTATACTAATAAAAGGATAATATGGCAGGAACCGGTTTGGCTCAGCGTCGGCCTGCGGACTGAAAGGTCCCAGGTTCGATTTCAGTCAAGGGCATGTACCTTGGTTGTGGGCACATGCCCAGTAGGGGGTGTGCAAGAGGTAGCTGATGCATGATTCTCTCTCATCGATGTTTCTAACTCTCTATTGCTCTCCCTTCCTCTCTGTAAAAAAATCAATAAAATATATTTTAAGAAAAAAATAAATAAATAAATAAATAAATAAATAAAAGGATAATATGCAAATTGGTCAGAATGCCCTTACAGTAATGACCAAACAGCAGGCTGTGTGGGGCAACCAGGCCAACAGGGGGGTTAGTGAGGAGTGACCAGGCTGGTGAGAGGGGCAGTTGGGGCTAACTAGGCCAGTGGGGGGGGGGGGGGGAAGGACAGTTTGAGGCTACCAGGCTGGTGCAGAGGGGGGGGTGGGGGGAAGGAACTGGGGATGACCCAGTCAGGGAGCAGTTGGGGTGACCAGGCCACCAAGGGGTATGGGGCAGTTGGGGGTGACCAGGCCATCAGGAGGGGGCAGTTGAGGGTGACCAGGCTGGCAGGTGGGGCAGTTAGGGGCAACCAGGCTGGCGGGGGGTGGGGGGAGGAATAGTTAGGGGAAACTAGGCTGATGGGGGGGAGTCCACTGGGGGCAACGAGGCCAGCAGGGAAGGCAGTTCGGGGCGATCAGGCAGGCAGATGAGCAGTTAGGAGCCAGGCCAAGATTGTGAGAGGGATGTCCAACCACATGTTTAGGTTCAATCCCCAGGATCGGGCCTAAATCTGCGATCGGACATCCCCCAAGGAGTCCCGGAATTGAGAGGGTGCAGGCTGGTCTGAGGGGATCCCCTCCCCCCTTGCATGAATTTCATGCACCGGGCCTCTGGTAAATAATAAAGGGAATAAAATGCATACATGTGACAATACAAAATAGGTATGTAAATAAGATAGATGGTTTGCTATGAAGATATTGTGAAGTCTAGGGAGGTACAAGTACTAGTAAGTGGCATTTAGTTGATAGAGGTGAGTCATTGAGTAAGGAGGGGAGTACTTGAAGCAGAAAGTTATTGCAACTGAGTTCACATGTAGGGAATGAAGGAAAAACATTGAACTTGATTACGGGATTGTAATTTTTAAGTGTTTTTGTTTGAAGAAATATAGGCACGTAATCTTCTATAATAACAAAAGGGTAATATGCTGATTAGACCGGGCGTCCTTCCTGACGAAGCCAGGGCCAGAGAGAAGCCAGCCCAGGGCCCACGTGTCTGCACTGGGCCCGGTTTGAGAAGTTGACCTCATAAGTAAGAGGACAACGTCATTAGCCTCTTAAGAGAGGTAAGCATGTATGAGCAATTGTATGCTGAACTTTATCGAGTTTAGAAGGGCGGGGAGGCCTGGGGCACAGGCAGAGGACCAGGATGAGAGCTCGGGAAGAAGACATGAGGGCACCAGTGCCCAGATGTGGTGTGAGGGAAGTTCATTGGCACCTTCTCCCTGAACTTCCAGAGCTGGGCTTTCTGAAAACCTCAGTGGAAGCGTTCCCACAGTCCCTGGAGACGGTTAGGCCTTGGTCAGCACCTTGGTCAGACTTAGGACACGGTGCTTCTGACGCTTGAAGGAAATCAGAGGTAGGACCTGTGACGCAGAGGCAAAGGCATGAGGAGCCTGTCTGACTTGATACGTGGTTCCTGTTGGCTGGCCTTAGGCTCTCACCTCTGCAGAACATGATCACTTTGCTTCTTTCGTTTCATCCTTTTTCTTCAGCTCTTAGATGCGTTCTTTACGCGTTCTGAGTATCGGGTAGTCATCTCCAGGGGAAAAAGTGAAATGCCAAAAATATTTCACATACGGCATCATGTGTTGTTAAGACACTGGCCTTTATCTTCTGTACTACCTGCTTCTCCTGAAGGAGGCAAAGGTGGGAGTCTCCCGGGAACACTCGGTTTCACTGAATGCAGGGACCCGGTCTGTCTGTCTGGGTTACCGTTCTCTCTCAATGCTCAGCAAATTGCCTAGCACATAGTAAGGACTCCATAAATATTGAGGAAGTTCGTCTCTGAGTCATCTTAATTAGGGGCTTCTTTAAAAAAAAAAAAATGTAAAAAGAGGAAAAAGAAAAAAACTAAAGATAAAAAATATGAACAACAAATACATATCTATCAACAAGTGAATCTAAAAGTTAAGTGAATTAAAAATCTGAGGAACAGAATAAACTGGTGAGTATAATAGAATCAGGGGCATAGAATGGGAGGGGATTGATAATTCTCAGGGGGAGAGGGGTGTCTGTGTAGGTGGTACAGGAAGAGACTGGACAAAAATCATATACCTATCGATGAGGACAGTGGGGGAGAGGGGAGGTAAGGGCAGAAGGTGGAGTGGGGAAGGGAGCTATGGGAGGAAGAAGGGAAAGGAGAAACAATTGTAATAATCTGAACAATAAAGATTTATTTTTTTAAAAAAGGTGTAAACCAGTTTAAATTTGGTTGTAATCAACCACGTCTGATATTTAAAATATAAAGTGATTAGCAGTGACCTTTGCAACTTAGGTGACCCTTGAGGTGGAAGGTCCCAGACAAACTCTATGGCCGCATAGATTGGCACTGATTTGTCCAGCTGCAGACTGCGAGCATTCTAGCTCTGCTGCCCGGGGGAGGCTTTTCTCCCAGGGAGTTAAGTGGGGATTTTACAACCCGGGCTGTTTAGGGTCAGACCTGCTGAGGGGCACTCATTTGCTTCTCAGCGGGAAAGGAAGCATCACTTTGCATCGCTCCCTCAGATCTGATGTCATAAAATCCGAGGCTGCGTTTTCAGGCAGATCATTAGATGTGCTAGAGTGCCCGTGGCTTAATCAGTATTTATTTTCCGTTGCCATGGAAAAGAAGAGCATCCTGGGTGTTCACATTGGACTGGATGGTAATGAAATATGGGACTGCCATTCCATCAGCAAAAAGAATAATTAGCATGTAGGTAATAAACTTGGGAAGACAATTGGAAATAAATGGTGGGTGTGTGTTTTGTCAAGTGACAGACAAATGAATGTATTCAAGTGACTCCATGAAATAACACCATATTTAAGAGCGCTGTTCTAGCCTTCACCGGAATGGGGGCCCTGGGCAAGTTGAAATTAGATAACTTCTCTGAAGTCGTTTTGCTGCCTGTAAAGTGAGGATAATGTTACCCTTGGCACACGATTAGTGCAGGATGTGGCACACATATAAAAACGAGATGTTATGAAACTTTATAGAAAAATAATATTTCAATAGCGTGCAAGTTGTTTTTGCATAATGTTCTTTTTATTATGAAAGGTATATTCTTTTCCCATCTTTTAATTTTTTCTTAAGAAAGCAGGTTATAAATGCAGATGCTTTTGCATGACTGATACATATTGCAATGGACTGTTCAAATTTTCTTCCAAAATATTATCTCTAGTACTGTGAAAATTTTATA